ACATTATGGGAACGGAAGCATTCGTTGATCTCAGAGATGTAAGCACTTCCCTTTACGATCCACATCGAAGGCAGCAAGCTGCAACACTTGGGCGCCGGACTTCTGAGCCAAGTTAGTAGGAGCATCGAACACCTTAACAACAGTGTTTCGAGTAGCCATGGTCTCATCAATGAGAGTCTGGTAAAGCTTCTGTACTTCAACAGATCTCTCCTGAAGGAATCGAGGGGTAGCCACAAGATGGAGATCGGTCTCATCCATCATTTCCTCGAACTTGACACTGGAGTCAAACTGTTGTTTATCAACAACAAAGACGCCAAGAGGGAACTTTCCTTCAGGCATGGGAGGCTTCTCAGACTTGAGGAAGGTGATAGAGAAGCCACAATCCTGAGCAGTGTTGATGTACTCGGCAACCTTGGCATCAGTGATGGCGATCTTCTCAGGCTCCATAGTGGTGAGATAGAAAGCCGAATCCGCATCCTCAATCTCGAAGTGGATATAGTCAGACTGAGTAGCCTGAGCAACCTTCTTAGCAGCGATAAGGCAATGAAGGTGTCTGGCAATCTGAGCACTGGTGAAGTGCTTGAAGTAGCTAGGGTGAAGGCCGAGCTCAGCAAAGTAGTAAACAATCTCTTGCCAAAGAGAGCCGGCAGCAAGTACACCTTCCTTGATGATGATAGAGAAGACCTGAGTCATCTTAGTTTCCAAATCCTCAGGGGTCAGGGAGATGTTAGTGTTCTTCACCTGCTCCTTCAAAGCTTCCTCATTCTCAGGGGAGAGATAACACACACCACCGTCACACTTGAGGTCGAGCTGACTGAGCACTTCCTTGATGTCATTGTGCTGGTTCACCACGGCATCATGGATAGGAAGCATACCGAAACGATCAGTCTTGAGTTGAGCTCCCTCATCCAACAAGTATTGGACAGCATCCATATGCCCACCGGCAGCAGCCAAATGAAGAGGAGTCCTCTTATCATAGTCTTGAACATTAACAGACAGATCAGAGTTGCTGGACAATAGATCCTTCATGCGGTTGATATCGCCCTCATAGGCAGCCTCAAGAAACGGAGAAACAACACTTGTCGTCGATGAATCCATATTAGTGATCTTATAAAAATAGAAACTACAGAAGGATTAGACTTGCGAGAACCTTTAGTATATACCTACTGTACTGCTACAATTAGTCAGACCAGAATGAACTACCTAGCTTTAGCCACCACAGCGATCACAGCTACTGGATTCCTAAGCTTGCAAAACTACCTAGAGAACACTTCAGTGGAACAGATAATAGACGATTCTGCAGAATAAGAAGCCAGAAAAGGTTCACAACTATGAGTAAATCGTCAACTGACCGCCCAGAATGACCGAACACACATGAAGACTGCTCGTACCAGGGAGCCAGATTCGCTATCATGAAATAACTCCCGGGGACATCTCTCGAGTCACAGTCCTGACGAGTTCAACGGTGAGGGTCTAAAAATGGGTTAACCCTTTCGCTGGGCCACATGGCAATGCTTGGTGGTCGGCCATGTCAGACCTATAAGGGCCTTCGTCTGAACGAGGATTAACTGTCTCTTTCACAACAATCCTGTTGGACGAAATACACTCAAATTGATGTCTATTTTATTCCACGTTGGTAAACCAAGATCTTCGTACTCCATAAGCTCCTTTCGAACATTGGAACATCTGAAACTATTGAGTACCCCAACACGTTGCTTCCTCGAAAGGTAATTGGGACAGTCTGGTGGCCTCTTAGACGCTGCTACTGGCTTGATTAATCCAGGGGGACAGCTTGCACAATGAGCAACCTTCTCTTGGACATGTTTGAGCTCCCGAACTTACCTTCGTTATCTTCACGGTCGCGCTGATATCCTCGAACTCGCTCGAGAAAAGAACTGTAAAGCAAGTGGAGACCTCCCCCCAATTGTCCTCAGGTAGTCATTTATCATAATTTCAGATATCGTGCCCAGAGCGATCTTAGCGCCTAGAGCCGCCCCGCCCGGAGAAATTGATTGTACTGAGGCATAGCTCAGGGTGGCATAGCCGCCCCGCCCGGAGAAATTGATTGTAGTAAGGCATAGCTCAGGGTGGCATAGCCGCCCCGCCCGGAGAAATTGATTGTAGTAAGGCATAGCTCAGGGTGGCATAGCCGTCTCGCTGTAGTCAGGGATGCCCCGCAGTCGGTGCACCTCCGATGAAGCAGTAGAGAATCCGATTCGACGAGTATTCCAATGATGAAGCTGTCAAATACACAGAAGATAGGACCATCTTTCTTCACGATTTCCTTACAACAATCTTACAACCTGGACAAGAACAGCGTGTAAGATGTGCTTCAGCCACGTCGCTGGAAGGGCGAGCGACAAATACGTGCACGGACACGTGATCCCTAATGACACTTAACACAATGACCGTGCAACGTTCCACTTGACTAGACCCTGTAACAGTTTCAATATATAGTGGAAATGTTACAACAACTGCTACTTATAATAATAGTGACGTTGTAACCGTGACCGAACACCGCTGCGAATATATGGTGTGACCTTTACATGACACATGGAAGTTATCGTACTACCATGAGACGGCCATCACTATGCATTCAAGAGCGATATGTGAAGGAAAGGCATATAGAGGAATGTAAGCGAGACCTGCGCGCCCAATTTCACATCCACTTCTGCTTTCTGTAAAGGAAGAAAATGAGACTCGTTATTGTAAGCAGAAGCAACCAAAAATACAGGTACCCGTGAGACCACAATAGCTCGGGCATTCCTGGCTTTCCCGTTAAGGGGTCCTGGAAGTTCATACCATAAACCCCTGTAAGAAATTGCCCGGGAACAAATGTTGTTGTTACTAAAGTGAGGACATATAGAATATTACTCGTCCTAGACTCACAATACTGCCGATACTGCTCAAGCATCATCCTGGCATTCTCTCTTAAAGCTAACGATTCTTCCAGGAATTGATGAGTGTTGCTACGAATATCCGAGGTGTACATCTGCGAGTCGGGACTCCAATGTCTGTAGCTCACAGCCGTCTCCAGGACATCTAGGACAGGCCTCACCATTCGATAGAGTTGGCCCAGCTGCCTGACGATCTTCCGCAGTCTTTTGACATCCTTCTGATAGAACTTATCCATCTCTCTATCGAGCCTCCTCTGCAGCACGGACAGAGACGCATCGTAAGCTTGACCCACCAATATGTAGTCTTCAGTGATATCGCACAATATCTTGAAGAGTAAGGTATGTGTATCACCAGTTCTCACATTGCTGTACGAAGTCTTGAGGTTTCCCAGAGCACTACGGAAGATACTCATATCGTACGACATCGTCTCCCAATCTGTGATAGTATGCGTCAGAGTTCGGAATCTCGTCCGTATGCGGGTGTCAGCGGTCGACTCTGCCTTCTCCTCGTCAACAGTCTCCTCGCTCGGTGGTCTCCTGCTCCACCAATGCTTCTTCATCTTACCCCCACTACCTTTCACATCCTCATCATCCCGATCGGTACCGGTTTTGCAGAGCGTTACCCACTCGCTGGAAAAACTGATGAGGGTACCACCTTCCGCTTTACCCGTTACGAACATCGCCAAGTTGCACTGCTCGACTTCTACTTTTACAATGGGAGGTTCAACAGTCTTATCAACTTTAGGGAAATCCTTCCGGAGCTTCTGCCTCCTCCAGGACTGCCATGGCCGCAAGGTATCACGGCTCGTCTGAGTCAATCGCAGTACAGGAATAATGATAATTGACCACAACGGCGGATTCTTCCGAGTTATTCGCGTCTCTCCGCGGCCAGTTGGCCGGTAACCAAAAATGTGATCCACTTTAGCCCCTTCTCGCCATAACGTGAAAACGTCCAATACAAACCGAGGGTCCAAACCATACTTGATAGCCAAGCCCAGCACTGCAGCCTGCGATGGATCGTGAGAATGGAGCCAGCGGACCCGGAATGGTTTCTGGATCTTCTTAGTGTTGATCACTCGGGACATTGCGGTCGGTCGGAACAGGAATGACACTGGATCCTCCAAGGGGTTTCGGCTGTAGAGAAAGTCCTCTCGGTATTCGTGAATGTGTATTCTGATTTGCTTCGCCTGCTCAGGTGCATGAAGTAGAGCTGCCATCCTCAGACACTTGAGTGCCGCCATGAACTCCGGAGGTTTGATAATGCGCTCTTCAGGGTTCTCCTCCAAGGTTCCTTTAGGGTCTCGGCTCGCCAGAATCTCACATAGTTCATGGAAAGCCAGATCGGACTCTCCTGAATGTTTCGTGTACAGAGCTTGCTGCCGAAGACCACGGGCAACTTCGGATGGCGACATCTCCGAATCGTGATCTTGATCGAACATATCGAACTGAGAAGAGAGTATCACTGAATATCAGAGATCGTATCAGAATGCACCGGAAGAGGAACCCCGAATATCGACAAGGCTGCAGTTATATTACCACTCTAAGCATGCCAGTTGCTGTACAGTCGAAGTACCGCAAGAGCGATTCAAGGTTGGGGCCTGCGTCGCCGCAATACACTGGTTGGTCATAACCTAGTCTCTCCACCATGGACAGCCAATACTCAGAATCATATTGAACGGCCACTACGGACGACTGGACTCGCTCACTTACACGGGGTAGACGAGCTGAAAGTAAGAAGAGGATAACGAGGGGGTGCGCGCTGCCGCACTGCTGTAGCAACGTAAAATTTGCGAAAGGCCAGTTGCACAATGAGCATATCCGCTAGGGATATAAAGGTTCGTCTACGACCAGAACATTGTAGGTATTTCGGAACTCGATTATCCTGCTGCAGATTAAAACTCTTGAATCAATCAATCAGACTTCGTAGTAGGAACTCATAGTACGACTTGAGATCTCGACACGCATCCCTGAAAATCTTTGATCTGATGTCCGAGTCTGTAAAGCAACCGGTGTGCCCATTCGGCGACTGCAAGCACACTTTTTGAGGTGCTGCACCGCGAGTCGAGAGGTTAAATTTGGAGATTCTCAGATCACAAACCGAGCTGTATTATAGACTTCGTTAGACATGATTCCTTGCGAATGAACGCACTTCCTTTCAATATACTCGGAAAAGGTAAAGAAGAAGAGGAGATAGACCGTTGAAACCTTAACCCCTATGCTAAGCTCTCCCTCTACTACCTTCAACGGGTATGTCAATGCCGTTTTGAGGGCCTTCCTCAGTAGATTCGCTGTCACCAACGTGGAGCCTAGGGTGGAGCTCCTCTTCAGTCCCTCTGTCAATCTCCCGGCAACCTACAGTCGATTGGCTAGATGCGAACATTCAAATAAGTAGAAGAAAACATAAAGCCTGATACACCATTTTCCTGAGAGAGAGGATGAACAAGTCCAACATGTCACGAATGAACTCACTAAGCTTGACTTATCCTCGACCAAGTTGAGGCTTGAACAAAACAGTTCATCCAAATTCCACACGAGGCTCCTCAAGTGCCTAGGCGTAAACAGGCTGGACGAACCAGAGTGAAATTGGGAGTAGAGCACAGACTAGAACCTCATTCCTTTTATTGGAGAGATTTTTTGGAGCTAGTCGCGTGCGATGATCACAGGACCATGGCTAGTCATGATTCAAGACCGTTTGTCTCCCGGACCGGTGGCGCAAACAGACGGTGTCACCAAAGTTGGTGTCCTAAATCACTAAAAGTCTCGTGCGCCCAGAGCTTTCAAGCCTACACTCCTCAAGTTGCCGTTCGCCGCAGACACCAGGGTCAGTGACACCGTCTGAACGTACCCGGACGGGTCGTTGATTCGACATTAGCCTAAAACTGGTCCGACCGTCGCCGAAAGGTGTATGAAAGAGCATGCACGAATAATCGTCTGCTTTCAGCTTGCTCAAGGTTCCATCGGTATACATTCTTCCATTTCTTCATAGATCAAAACTTAACTAGGCCCTAATCAATTCATTTATTCCCTCTCTCCGCTTGATACGCACGGTGCGACGCGGTTGGGGAGGCGCTTGGTTTCGAAGCGCGTGAGCAGTAACTGCCGATGCTATATCCCCGATAGCAGTAACCGGTCACGAGATCCTATTGATACTAATGACTAGCACGAGACAACACCTTGAATGATATAGTTCATTGCGGGCATAGCGGCCCCACTCACAAAATAGATTTCTGAATGGTGCAGTTCATTGTGGGCATAGCGGCCCCACTCACAAAATAGATTTCTATATGGTGCAGTTCATTGCGGGTATAGCGGCCCCACTCACGAAATAGATTTCTGAATGGCGCAGTTCATTGTGGGCATAGCGGCTCCACTCACAAAATATATTTCTGAATGGTGTATCTCATTGCGGGCATAGCGGCCCCGCTTGCTAGATAGATTTCTAAATGGTATAACGCATCGCGGACATAGCGGCCCTGCACAACCCATAGGCTTCTTCATGGCATAGTTTGTCGCGGGCATAACGGCCCCTCTCGCCGAGTAGATTCCTCAGTATGGTGTCTGGTATCTACTACTAACAATGTTGCCGCAATACAACTCTGCGACTCGGCTTCTGATCTGTGAATCTCTTGTAAGACATGAATGAATTCCCCACAGCTGCTCGCCAGAAGCTACCGTCGAGACCCCCGTTGATTCGACACTCGCAGTTTCTCGTTTGACACTTGTGAAACAATGACACTCTGACGGGGATCAACCCAGTGAAACGTCGAGTATGGTGGAAATGACATCAAGACAGTTCGTAACAATGGTAGGACATCTGATACTAATGGGCAACCGCCAATACGAAATATCAGCGGACTCGGAGAAAAGGGCATCACGGCTATCATTCGATGCAGTTGCCACGGCCAGACCAGGGCGCGACCGTGGGCGAAAAAGATTAGGAAAACGCCAACGAGCGTGAGTGAAGTAACTGAGTAGCCAAGATATCTAGTCTGGGCGGCTTAGATCCACTTTTTCTTTCGGTAGAGAAAGAAGATAAGACTCGTGATTGTGAGCAGAAGCAACCAAAAGTACAAGTATCCATAATTCCACATCAGCTCGGGCATTCCCGGATCACCTGTTAAGGGATTCTGGAAATTCATACCGTAAATGCCCGTCAAAAACTGTCCGGGAACGAAGATTGTTGTGACCAAAGTGAGGACATAAACAATATTGCTCGTCCTAGACTCACAATACTGCCGATACTGTTCGAGCATCATCCTCGCATTCTCTCTCAATGCCAATGATTCCTCCAGGAATTGATGAGTGTTGCTACGAATATCCGAGGTGTACATCTGCGAGTCGGGACTCCAATGTCTGTAGCCCACAGCCGTCTCCAGGACATCTAGGACAGGCCTCACCATTCGATAGAGTTGGCCCAGCTGCCTGACGATCTTCCGCAGTCTTTTGACATCCTTCTGATAGAACTTATCCATCTCTCTATCGAGCCTCCTCTGCAGCACGGACAGAGACGCATCGTAAGCTTGACCCACCAATATGTAGTCTTCAGTGATATCGCACAATACCTTGAAGAGTAAGGTATGTGTATCACCAGTTCTCACATTGCTGTACGAAGTCTTGAGGTTTCCCAGAGCATTACGGAAGATACTCATATCGTACGACATCGTCTCCCAATCTGTGATAGTATGCGTCAGAGTTCGGAATCTCGTCCGTATGCGGGTGTCAGCGGTCGACTCTGCCTTCTCCTCGTCAACAGTCTCCTCGCTCGGTGTTCTCCTGCTCCACCAATGCTTCTTCATCTTACCCCCACTACCTTTCACATCCTCATCATCCCGATCGGTACCGGTTTTGCAGAGCGTTACCCACTCGCTGGAGAAACTGATGAGGGTACCACCTTCCGCTTTACCCGTTACAAACATCGCCAAGTTGCACTGCTCGACTTCCACTTTTACGATCGGGGGTGCAACAGTCTTATCAACTTTCGGCAAATCCTTCCGGAGCTTCTGCCTCCTCCAGGACTGCCATGGCCGCAAGGTATCACGGCTCGTCTGAGTCAATCGCAGTACAGGAATGATGATAATTGACCACAACGGCGGATTCTTCCGAGTTATTCGCGTCTCTCCGCGGCCAGTTGGCCTGTAACCAAAAATGTGATCCACTTTAGCCCCTTCTCGCCATAACGTAAAAACGTCCAATACAAACCGAGGGTCCAAACCATACTTGATAGCCAAGCCCAGCACTGCAGCCTGCGACGGATCGTGAGAATGGAGCCAGCGGACCCTGAATGGTTTCTGAATCTTCTTAGTGTTAAGCACTCTGGACATTGCGGTCGGTCGAAAAAGGAACGACACTGGATCCTCCAAGGGGTTTCGGCTGTAGAGAAAGTCCTCTCGATATTCGTAAATGTGAATTCTGATTTGCTTCGCCTGCTCAGGCGCATGGAGCAGAGCTGCCATCCTCAGACATTTGAGAGCTGCTACGAACTCTGGAGGCTTGATAATGCGCTCTTCGGGGTTCTCCTCCATAGTTCCATCGGGACCGCGGCTTGTGAGAATGCCGCATAGTTCATGAAAGGCTACATCAGATTCAGCAGAATGTTTGGTGTACAGAGCTTGCTGTCGGAGACCACGGGCAACTTCGGATGGCGACATCTCCAAATCGTGATCTTGATCGAACATATCGAACTGAGAAGAGAGCATCACTGATCACCACGAGAATCGTCAAAATGCTAATTAGAGAACAATCTCCCGTATTATTACCACTCTAAGCATGCCGGTTGCCGTACAGTCGAAGTACCGCAAGAGGGATTCAAGGTTGGGGCCCGCGTCGCCGCAATACACTGCTTGGTCATAACCTAGTCTCTCCACCATGGACAGCCAATACTCAGAATCGTATTGAACGGCTACTACAGATGGCTGAACCTTGTCACTCACACGGGGTAGCCGAGCTAAGAAGAACGACAGCAATACTCAAATAAGGTCCGAAACACCCAACACGAGATACTGTCGAGATATCAGTGACTTTACGAATTTTTTTTCACCTCCCAGTCGTGTTATCCAATCCTAGTACTCTCGGAGAGGTTCCTTTTTTGGCTATTCCTTGTGAGTTTAATTAAGTGCGTCATGTACTGTAGGTTAAGCCGACAACAACCTGAAGCCCCCTCACTACCATCTTTGTATTCCTGTTCGTCCGAGCCCTTCTGAGAATTAGTAGCTCCTCCATCGCTTGGTTCCTTCTCATCGGACAGCTCGATAACATCATTGCCCACTCTCAACCCGTCTGGTCGACTACGAGTTAAGTAGTTCTCCTGTCTAAATGCAGCGGCGACGGGAAGATCCGGGTTAGGCTTAGGGAAAAGATCCTCTTCCGTAGCTCTCGACGATGCATCACTCATAAGAGAAACATAACTTAACTCAGAGACATCGGGTCATATTACTCCTGAGACATCTCAGAGAACCATCTGCTCTGAAAAGAGCACCAATAATTTGAGCGAGAGACCTCAGTATCCATTGGACGGTAGTAACAGTGATGTGCGCATTGGTGCCAGCCTCACTGGACTCAGTGGAGCCGTATAGCTTGAAGCTCAACACGACGGCGATAGTAATGTCCAGAAACACGTGAACATCATAGGACACCTTCCTTCCTCAGCAGCTGACCTTTAGCTGTTTTGATTTGGGGCTCTAACGCTCTACCCACCAGCCGGTTCCATCGATCTCGAGCCTTATTCTTCCACTGCTTAGGTTGAGGTACCAATTTACCCTCATAGAACATACTGACCGAAAAGAGGATCAACGGAATGCTAGGAAAAAACTGCTATCCGATGGCAGGCAGAGGATCGGGTAAGACCTGCATTACACATGTTTGTTGGCTATAGGGTCGTGCTTCCTCAGCGCCATTCTCAAGTCCTTCTTGGTGGGTGACTTGTCCGTGACAAAGCGATATCCCGTCTGTGCTGCTGAATACATAATAACCGTCTGAAACACGCATGAAACCACGCAAACCACATGCACGACGTTCTCGAAGAGTGGAACGGATACTTACGATCCGTTGCGACTTGGTCCGGAAAAGAGGACTCGAGACGGATAGCATCGAATGAGAGCCGAAATTGAAGTCCCGAGCGGGAAACTAACTCACACATCTGCGGTTCGGGTTCACCAAGTCAGATAGTCAGAAGGACTTCCCCATTGCAGCCAGTCCCTTTTCCACAAATATGACATCGATCGCTCCGCTAGCACGCACTCGCCGCTTGATACACGTACTCCCGTCGCAGGATTATTAATGTTCGAACAACCCAAGACTCACAGAATTCGGAGGCTTAATATAGACTCGGAATATAATGAGCATGCAGATGACGGCTGCGAGCCTGCGACATTGAGCCGGGCTCAACGAGCCTCCAGTAGGCCGACCGAAATATGCCGGAGCAACATGCACCGGCTGAGGACCACTGTAATGAGTGGAATTCGAGCGACGCATCCTTTGACAACTCAGCGCGTCTTGACCACTGATGCTGCCTTTTTGCACGAAGATTCATTTCCGAGTCCTTGTGATCGCTCTAATCTCCTTCTCGAGTATATCGGGAACAATTGCTTCGAATTTCAGTATTATCCTGATAACAAATGTATCCCATTATAACAATTATCGTCCTTGCGAGCTCCGGCACTGGAGTGGCATCACTCTGGATCCCCCAGTGGGTATGGCTGCGGCCGGCGATCAGCTGGACCTAAGCGGGATAGTCCTCGACCCCCCAGTGGAACCGACGACTGCCGGGAGCCCGATTGATTGGAGCGGTATCACTATTGAGCCTCCAATCGATCCGGCGACCGGCGGAAGCCAGGTGGACTGGAGTGGTGTCAGCTTGGAGGCTCCCGTGAGCACGACCACTGGGGGCAATCCGGACTGGTCCAACGACACTCCTGAAGACCAGGGGAGTACAGCGACGGAGCAGCCGAACAATAATAAGTAAGTTTACTCATCACTTGGCGATCTTCGTAATCTTCTGAATTTCCTTCAGGACTGCGACGTCCGACAACAAGTCGCCTCCCAACGACTCCAGTACATGTGGTTGCTCAACCACCCTACTGGGGGTCGTCCTGGGCGCAGCTGTGGTCGGCCTCCTCGCTAGCTGCGTCCAGTTGTGGCTGCTCAAGAGGCTGTTAGGGCGGACATCCACGTCGACGTTGGAGAATGTGGATCTTGAACGGGGAAACAGGTAGGGAAACGTAGCCGTGAACAACTCTCTGATCATCAGTGATGCAAGTAACAACCTGTAATAGTCATGAGTCTCAGATACAGCCATGGAACAGACGTGGCGTGTATAAAGGGCGTGTCAATTGGCCTCTAACATGCCTACCATTGCATGCTGGATATGAAAGTTGTAAAAGTGAACCTATTGCGTTAAAAACACACATCAGCTGAATTCGGACTTGACCATCAATTCGTATGTTGCGCTGAGTCAGCGCTCGCCCCCCCAAGATGCATCTTGGCATGTGACGAATCGGTAGCCAAAGCACAATAACCATCTGAGAATCTCAGACTGAGATCAACTCATGCTCCTAGGCGAAATGCACGATACCTACGCTACCTACGCAATACCACGAATAGACGCCAACACGAATGATCAGCTGTGACTTCGGCGTTCATCGAGATCACGGCATGAAATGGATCGATGGACATACGGACTCTCCGACAGAGCTGAGTTTTGAGAACTCAAGGCCAGCAGACCTCCCGAAAGTTTCGGGAGGTGGGCCGAAACTCTGGATCCCGAAACTGACAGTAAGTATGAGCATGATCTTAACACACTGCAACCGCTGCCAACTGCACGCTGCAATGAGCTTTAAACCACTCCACCACGCGACTAGCTCGCTCTCCTTTCTCGAAGCCATCACGAGCAGCCTCTTCTGAGTTTACCCGAGCTGCCTGGTTCGCGGTTATAGTGACGTCCAGTATGAAGGGCATGACCTTGGCCTAAAATGCTACATAGTAAACCAACGATAACCTGGAAGACAGCCCAACCAGTTAAACTACCTCGATTTCGTAGTGGCAGCCCATCATCCGCAAAATGGCTGCTACGTCCAAATGAAACCCGCTGGATACCGGAAAATACATCGCGTCGAAGCTGTCGTCAGATATTACTAATGTCCCCATGATGATGATTCATCATTGATGCTAAAAGGATCACCCGGCTAAAAGGATACAGGTAGTATTCATCATTGATGAATACTACCTGTAGCCTTTTAGCCATTATATACATCCAAAACTCATCCTCACATGTACTATTGTCACCAACAGCACTGACGAAACGAACAATATCACGATGTGATACATCCCCGAGATGGTCGCATACACGGTCAGAAAAGCCTCTGACATCCTGAAAAGACCCGGTAATAGACAGACTCAAGATCTGACGCGAATAAACGACCGAATCCTACCGCGACACTCCCTCTCTAACGACCATAAAATCACCTGGAGACCTCATGATGGTTTGCAAGCATGACATAGCAAAATTAGACATTATAAATGTCAACATCCAATTACGAATAATGATTCATAATTGATAATGGCGCCCGTTTGTCAACAAAATAAGATGTCACGGATGAATAATAGCCAGGAACGGATGTTGTACTTACCGGAACGGTTCTGGCCCAAAACCGTTCCGGTAAGTACCTGCAAGTATTCCTCGGAACTTCTGGGGATTACTTGCTGTTCCAAGGGTCCGACTCCCCTTCGAGAACGGTAGAGGCATTTTCAGAGAGAATGTTGATTCAGCATTGTTGAATATCAATGTTTTCACAATCAGGAGGCCCACCGCAGCACGGAAATTTGGCACCGTGCATCTTGGAGCCTTGGTAGCACTTATCTGCTGTGACTTGCACGAATCGTGCATCACAGGTCGCAAAAGCAAGGAGGACGGTCGCGCGGGGCTGCCATATAATTCAGATTATCATTGCAACTCACCTCCCGTAGCTATACTTACACCTTGCTATGCAAATCGTCGCAAGTATCCTCGTCATTGCTGCTGTGGCACTCGGTGAGATCGACTGGACTAAGATCACTATCGAGCCTCCAATGGCTCTCACGCCGACCGCGGCTGGTGTGAACCTGTCAAGCATCGTGCTGGATGATCCAGGATCCATATCTGCCACAGTTGGTATCGACTGGTCGAGTATCACCCTCGAGCCGCCGGAGAGCTACACTTCGGCGGGCCGCCGACGGCGGCCGAGCAGCTGACGACGAGTCCAGCAACTGCTGGTCCTACGCAAGAGTAAGCGGTGGAGGCTCCTCGTATCGATTTTATTTGTCCTCAGTGTCCTCCTGTCTCGTCCTCAGTGCTCCGTAGTCTGCCGAAGAATCGCCGACTAATAGCGTTTGTGCGGCTGGCACGGGCTGGCCGGTAGAACTGTTCGGAATCCTTCTGGCGATCAATATAATCGCACTGATCGCCAGCGGCGTACAGATCCACCTGATGAAGAAACTCGTGGACAAAATCCCGGAGTGGAAGGAGATCGACATCGAGCTAGGAAGGTGAGGGACGGCGACTGACACTCGAAAGTTTGCGAGTCCAAATTATCGATCACCATCACTATGTTTTAATCCTTCATTATACATATTCAGATACAAGATCCAAGAAGTAACTTCTTAGAAGTTGCAGGAGCATCAGTGAAGGAGGCTGTCATCGGCCTCTAGATGCTATAGCCTATAGCGTAGCATGTTGAGTCAACATTGTTGACTTCAACATGCGTGAACATTGTTCACTGAACAATGAGTTCATGTTGAACAATGCATTCATTGTGTTTTTATCAAGTGCTCAAATCCGCAACAATCAGGTCAGAACTTGTAACTCACAAGTCGTATGACTCATACGGTATGAATGAATTCGCAACAAGAAGTATCCGATACACAGTTCATGGTATACTCACTAGCTTGGATTCTCCGGTCGGAGACTCCGACCTAGACGTCATCTTGGAGTCCTAGACCTAGACGATGAATCCACACATTCGCATGGGATATGCTGTACCTCTAGATGA